TTTTTTTTTTTCCTTTTTTTTTTTTTTTTTCTTGAATGATATATAGAATAAAATTTAAAACTAAACCAAAAAGAAGAACTAAAATTAAACTGAATGAGTAATAAGTGATGGAAGCAAACGCCATCATCAACAACAACAACAGCAGCAGCAGCAGCAGCAGCAGTAGCAGCAGAAGTTTCTTTTTTTCTGTTTTGCTTTTTTAAATTTACTAAAACTGTAATACAATTGGAACTAAAAAAAAAAAGTGTAAGAAAAGGTAAGAAAGAGAGAATTACTGTAACTCAAAAAAAGAAAAAAAAAAAACATTGGTTTCTTTTGTTTACTTCGTCTGCTGATTTCAATCTAATTGAAATTGTTAGCTCAAATTCTTGAGAGTGCTGTTGCGGCTATCATCATTGCTGTTGCTGATTGCTGCCGTTTGATGCTGTTGCTATTTGGTTGCTCAAAATAGTAGCAATAGCAGTAGGAAAAAAGAACAAAAAAAGTGAGAATAAAAGAAAAAAAAAAAAAAAAGAAGTTAAAAAAGCAAAACAGACTTCACTCATAATCAACCTTAGCATTTATTTATATTATTGCAGCGGATAAGCCGTTCACCTGCGAACACGCAAACTGTCATAAACGATTTGCGAATAAATTCCTTCTGAAGAAGCACCAATTTATCCATACCGGTCTCAGGCCGCATTGTTGTCCATTTTGCGGCAAAAGGTATCATCAACAACTCCTTTTTTTTTATTCAAAAATTTTCTTTTTTTTTTTTTTTCTTCTTCTTTTTCTTCTTCTTCATCGTCTTCATCTTCATCTGCTTCTTCTTGTTCACTGTTGTCGTGGTCGTCCTAGTCGTTGTTGCTGTTGCTGTTGCTGTTGCTGTTGCTGTCGTGGTTGTTGTTGTTGTTGTTGTTGTTTGTCTTCGTCTTCAGCTATCAACAAAATTTTTCTGTAACACTTACCGTATATAGAAGAAGCATAAAAAATTTGATCTCTACTGAATAGATTTTTCTTTTTTTTTTATGCGCAATTGGGCGCTGTTCTTTTATAAAAATTCAAACAAAAAAAAAAAAAATTTGCTACCCCTAACTCTGTTCTTCTTCAAGCCACCTTCCCCCCCTCCTCCACTATGTTTTATCTTCCATCTCGTCTGCTTTTGCTTTTTTTTTTTTTTTCCATATATTTAAAGACGTCAACAATTTTAACAGTAACAGTAACAGAGCAAAACAACAGCAATAAAAAAAACTGTAACAGTAAATATGCACATATTTATGAGCAGTTGAATGTTTAAAGAATTGAGAAGACTAATGTAGACGGCAAAAAAATTCTAAGTTGATTTAAGCACATTCTAAGAACAGCAGCTGTACTACCGCTGTATGCCAGTTAATTGACTGCTTATCGATGCGGTTCAGTGTGCAGCAGTTATCTGTCAGTATTGTTTACTCCATTTAAAATTAACTACATTTTGAGAAGAAGAAGAAGAAAAAAAAAACCCCAAAACTACAATAAAATACCTCAGCAATAAATTTAT